CCCCGGCCCGCCCCCCTCGGCTGGGACGACCCCGTCGCCCGCCGTCATGCTGCACGCGAGCGTCGCCGACATTGACACGGTCGTCGTCAACGGCGTCGTCAAGAAGCGCGCCGGCCGCCTCGTCGTCGACGGGTACGACAGCCTCAAGACGCGCTTCCTCGCCAGCGCCCGCCGCATCCAACGCGTCCTCAAGGACACGCCGCTGCCGGCGCCCACCGGCGCCTTCATGTCCGGCGCCGAGCTGACGCGCGTGCAGGAGGCCGACGTCGTGCGCGGTAACGGTACGGGGTACTAGGGTTATGATTTTGTTCTTCATCGTTTGCCCAGCCTCGACCATCCATCCATCGTTTGGTGGTTGGCGGATTCCTAGCTAGACATGGCGATCGAGCTAAGCATAGTGCTATGAATACCCGAATGTAGACTATTCGTCGTTAGTGTAAATACGATCAGTAATCGGTCCTGCTGTTCAGAGGCAGCTGTAGAAGCAGCTGTAGCGTGTAATGTCCCATACAGGGGCAACATCAAGTATTCATCTTGCAGACACATCACGTTGGATAGTCATCATGGCGTCAACGCAGCAGATTGTTGGATTGTCAATCCTAAGAGATGGGAGTCTCACAAACAAAGCCTGCGGGCCAGAGAGCTTGCTATGCCCGGCCAAGAGACCAACCCCTTTGTGTCCGCTGCAACACTTCAATCAAGTCTCTCTTGCTCGAGGGCCCGGGCCCGCCCGGTCATCGTGATCCGAGGGGGAAACACCCAAGTTCATCACCCGTTTCAAGCCAAACCAAGCTATTCCTCCAAAAAGGGTGTACCAAATGCAACTGGAGAACATGGGACGAACCTGATTCGCCCATTCTTGGAGAGGTTTGACGGGTCCTCCTGTGGCGTGTTGGGCGCGAGATAGCCCTGGCGGAACGTGCGGCGCATGATGGCACGGAAGATATGTTCTGCGGTGAGAAAAGAGAAGACAAAAAAAAACGGAGTGAGAAGCGCAACCGGGACCCTGCGGTGGCATGCATGTGCAAGGATGGGTCATGGCGCAGTGTGACATCCGTGAATAAACAAAAAGCTGGTGGCCTCCCCTGCCAACAATGCACTCCTAAACCATCTGGCTGAATACCACAAGTGCGGTCTGCAAGTGCAGATCCACAATGAATATTGGAAGTTTCACACGCGGTTCAACCTCTGCTAGCGGTGGCGGTGAGAGAGGCCGCGGGCGTGTCCGTGCACGTGGCGCCTAAGACGAGCAGCGGGAGCTGGCACCGGCGTCGCCTCGGCTGTGACCGTAACAGTCGTGGTCTCATCGAGGTATTCCGTCACGAAGACGGTTTCCTCCTCCCAGTAAATGATCGAGACCATGTTACTAACGGTCACTGTCTGGGTGGAGTAGTAGGACTTGTTCTCGACCAGAACAGGAGGCTTCACCTCTGGTGTGATGACTGGCGGGGCCGGTTCCGAGGACGAAGAAGAAGACGGCGCCACAGCAGCTGCAGCGAAGAGGTCGCCACTGCTGCTCTCGGGCGCTGGTGCCACAGCTGATGAAGATGGAACCTCAGGCTCAGGGATCGAGGGTTCGGGCACAGGGGCGGGCGAAGGAATGACGGGGGCAGCCTGCTGCGTAGACTGAGCCGGGTAGACATAAGCCGTCGAACCAGTGACAGGCTTGGGGGCCAGGCTGGGGACGAAGGTGGGCTCCTGAGGAACGTCACCGCCGTATTCCTCGTGGCCATCGCCAAAGATGATGGGTACACCGCCAGGGAGAGACTTCAAGGGACCCTCGCAGTCCTCGCTCGCAAGAATCTGGGGAACGTTCATCTTGCACTCGCGAGCCTTTTGCTCAGTGACAATCTCAAACAGCGGGCAATCAAGGATGTTGCCAGAGTCGCTGGTGCAAGTATCGATGACCTGCTGGAGGAAGCCCTCATCCCAGCCCATGATGAAGTCACCGTGGTACCCGAAGCCTGCACATGGTTGTTAGCAAGGTCTCTTACGAACACAAAATGGAAAATCTTACCCTCGGCGTCACCGTTGGACATGACAAACCTGCCGTTGCGGCCCTCGAGAGGCTTGGTGTTCCAGACCACCTCGAAGAGCATGTTGGGGAGGTGCTTGTCGAAACCCTCAGGACACTTTCCGTTGTTGAGTTCATCAGGATAAGCGACATGGGAGCGGTGGTCCTCCGAGTCAAGGTCGACGCCGTTCCAGCACGAAGGGAAGTTGATCTCAGTACGAATACCATTAGGACAGTTGGCCTGGATGAACTGCTGCGTGGGCAGGAAGTGGCGGTAGAGAGTAGGCTCGGCTTGCCCAGCGTAGTTGAGGCAGTTGAAGCCCATCGACCGCTCACGGAGCGACTGCTGGGTCTTGAGACCGAGAGCGTCCCACTCGTTGGCGGGAGGGTCAGGTTGCGTCAGGTTCCAGGTTGTCCAGGAGCGTTGTTTGGTATCCCCCGCCACCATGCGGAAACCCGCAGGGAACGCAACAAGGTTGGGCAAGTGGTATTGGTAGTATCTAACAGCTACGTCAGTTACGTGTTCCAAGATGTGGCACAGCGGGCATCTGTAGTGAGGATTTCGTCTCGCGTCGGGATGACATGAGATTCCTACTGCCAGCAGAGGATCGCATGACTTACGCAAGCATACCGCCAACCTGCTCGACGAGCTCAAACTCGCCGGTGTCGGTGTCCTGGAAGTACATCGAAGGGTGCCAGTAGGCAGACTTGTCCTGGAGGACACGGCATGAGGTGCAGTCGCCGTCACGGAGGTCATCGTACGTAGCGTTCATGCTGAAGCCTGCGTTGTGGGTTAGGTGAGACGAACACCAGAGAGTTGGGAGTGTCAAGACGTACCAGACGAGCCGTGAATTGAATGAAGATGGAGCGAAGGCTCTCCGGGTGAGATCATAGGGTCAATCCGGGCAAGGCCAACACGACCTTGACATTCCATGCGGAAAAAGGCGTCGACGCCCGCGGCCATGAGAATGGCCGTCGGGCCAACAGTGAGGAACTTCATTTTTTTGGTGTTTGGAAGCTATGTTAGGCCCTTAAGACTGCTGTAGGAGGCTGTCGTGGGTGAAGCCGACAGTCGAGACGGTGAGATCCTGGGCTTGAAAGCAATGGGAATGATGTGAATGCAGGTCAAAAAATGACGAATCGGAAGTGAACACAAGATCTCCTAGAGACAAGCCGGCAGTGATTGATAGCGATGCTGTCGGGCCTGTGCTCAGAACCCCCTTGTGTGAAGGCTCTACTTTGGTGGTCAACAGTTGTCTGGGGCCGGCCCCACTGTTGATATCTCGACAAGGCGGCGGATATTGCCCCTCGAGTTACAGACAGACGAAGAGCCTGAAGAATTGCGCCGTGTCAAGGTACTGCCGTTGCGCGCTTTGGTGTCGGGGAAGGTCGCGTGATAATGCCTTTGAGTGTCAGACACTAGGCAGATGGTAATGCGGTCTAGCACGACGTATGATATCCTGAAGGCGATAAACTCGATAACTTTGGTCTACTGACTCTTTCTGATAAGCCGGGTGGACTTTGATCTGTGCGCGGGCGACTGGATAGAATGCTGAGTTGAAGATGCTGTCACGGGCGGTGTTGCGATGGTCGTCGTCGTGGCGCTGTGAGATTTTCGAGTCTCGACAGTGAATGGTAGCAGCTCGCGTTCCGGCCTGGCAGAGAAACAAAATGTTGCGATGATAGAGGTGATCAAAAAAAGAACCAGCAGAGGGCAGTCGGTCGCGTATAATTTGCTGCTTCTGAGTATGGGGCGAAACGAATGCGGTCAACACGAAGGGTATCGCAAAAGGGTCGAAGAAGGTCGGAGGAAGGCGTGAATGTAAAGGGACGAATGTAAGGAGGAAAGGCGAAGCGGATGGGCGTCAACAAGGTCGAAGGATATCAAAGTAGAAAACGAAGGCCGAAGAGGGATCCCAAAGGAGTGTCGAGGTGGGTGAGAAGGAGCGTCAAGTACGACAACCTGAGGGGGGTGCTGCACGAAGGGAGTGATTCCCAGGAATGAGAGAGAGACAACCAAGCCGAAGCTGAAGTGAATGTGAGAAATACAAACGGGATCCAGAGAAGTGGAAGGC